CCTTTTAGACTTTTTCGTTAAAAAAAAAAATGGCGCCAGACGTTCAAAAACCTAACCTCAACCAGATTATCAGATTACGTAACCTAACCTAAAACGATAAGCTGCTCCTCAAAACCTTTGGTGGCCCAAGAGACACACATTTAAAAGCGGCCGATAAAGACAATGTGGTAATTTTTAGACCCTTTTTAGGCCGACTTGAATACTGACATAAGGTTTGTCGGCAACTTTTCGGTAAGAGAACATCTCGCCATTTTCGCTGTTTCAATTTCGCAAACAGAAACAAATCAAAGATCTCACACCCTTATCCATCGAAAGATCATGCAAGGTAAACATGGCTGCTAGAATAGAACACCATCAAAGGTTTACGCAATATTTTAGCTCATATACTTATACACTTACATTTAATTAGCGAAAAAAAAAAAACAGATCTACACATATTTGGAACAAAAAAACGCCGGTTGACCAGGAACTCAAAAGCGATTCCGTGGAATAAGTCTTAACACAGCTTTTTACAAACAAAATCAAGAGTTGAAATGCAAACAAAACAATAAGGTTTCTGCACAAAAACTTCATGTTTCCTGAAAAAGAGTTAAGAATGTTTTTTTTTTTTTTAAAGATAAGAAGTGAGTTTTCTCAAACCTGACGAACAACTAGTTTATGTGCACGCCCACATGATGTGACACTTGTCCCCACATATTAAAATCGTTGCTCTGTTGACATCATTTTAGCTCTAATGTAGGCAGGATGAAGCATATGGTCACATGGAACCTTGTAACGCCTTAGCTAATCCCAGAGTTCTCTGCAGCCAGAAGTAGAGCATTGAAGCACGGAATCCGAAGGTCTAGGATTTAAGTCCACGCTGAAGACTCAGAGTTTTTCGGTGCATGTTTTACCCTCGTGACAAAATGACTCACATATTTCTTCAACAAACATGCCTGTGCGTCCGTTTGAAAACATTTGAAACTTCCCGGTCATTCTTTTGAAAAGGTGGTTGATTTTTTACTTTCTCTACAAATTGAATCAAAACCAAACCATGTTTGTTCACTTAAGAATCAATAAACGCATCGCAGCTGTCAAAAGGCAAATTTAAATTTGAAAATTTTTTTTGAAGTTTATGGCTAAGAGTTCATGCAAAACACCCACATACAAAAATTTCATTAATTTCATTATTTTGCCTATAATCTGAGATATACTGACTTCAAATTATCTGCCCTTCAGTACTAGTCGCAAAATTTTCTTTTCGTCAAGGAAATTATTTTCCCTATACAAACTTTCAATTTTAGAGAAGGGTGGATTTCCTGAAAGCAATTACTGCGCTTGTCACACTTGGTGAGGTTTTAAGAGAACGTTGAACAGACACGCACCGCTTGGAGCATGACTAAAACATAGACTCACTGTCGCTTTGTCTTACCATTAACACGTCATGTCTTTAACAAAAGAAATGCTCACAACAAGATAATGATTTGAACTACGGTCTCCTGAGTTGCCTAGTCATAAAATTACCAGTGAGTCAATACGTGACTAATTAGACTTGTGAGTCACTACATGTTTGGTTGTGACAAGAGCAGCAAGGGCGATTGCCAAACTAAACTAAAGAAAACTATAAACTAGACGAGAGCGAAGAGATACCTATTGAGGTTATGTAAGTAGACTACATATTTGGGAAATTCAAAGCACGGTTGGGGAATAAGGATAGATATCACACATATGTAATGATAGCAGGATAAAGAAAAAAAAGTCTGTGACCCTCGACGTTTCGGTCTAGAAGCATTTAAACATCTTTCTTTATACGACATATCTTACGGCATCGACAACTTTACTGAAGTTTGAAAAGTTGTGAGTATTATCATGAAACTGTTGAAATGCGACGTTGAAAACTCTCAGTGAAAAAAAAAACAACAACTACTTAAAGGAAACAAAATAATTAAGAACTATACATAACTAAGTTTATACCTTGTATTACAAATTTGATAGCATTTTATGTCAAATAATCAGGGCATTATCGATTGCTGGGTTTTATCGTGTTTTTATTTTTCGCTGACATTTTGTTCCCTGTCTGTGTGGTTCTGCAAGCGTCAGCACGAAACAACTTATTCTCAACGCCATCGGGTCAAATACAGTCCAGTATTTTTCCTAATTTCTTGAATTCTTTCCGATTTTACTTCCTTCAGCAGTAGCTAATCGACTGAATATGCTCGTACGTTTCACATACACACTTACACACCAAAAGTGATGTCTGAATGATACAATTCTTTGATAAATTGTTTCTCAAATTGAAATTTAATCTTTCTTCAGTTACTTTATTTCCCTTAAACCATCAGCGACCACTACCACATTTTGATTCTCGAATAAACAAGTCTTATGTAAGAACATTTTACTAGACGAAGTTAAAAAGGACCGAAGTTTTCTTCTTTCGTAAATTGCGGCGAACTCGATGTTGCGACCATAATTATAACTTTGTATAAACGCAATATACTTGACAAATCGGCCTTTTTGATGTAGACAAGAAGTATTAATTATCAAAGCAAATAGGTGGTTTCATGCAACACTTCATTCTCGGCAAAATCAAGGAAATTTACTAGAAAGGATTCAGTAGCGTAACACGCCCATTCGCTAATTCCAAATTTGCGTAACAAAGAAATCTCTAGTTGAGTCATGAGGCTGAGTAATCAAATATATTCTGCTTCCCAATTTCGTACTCTTTGTTGTTACAAAGAGAAATCTGACCGTATGGGAAAGTTTTCCAACCGTAGTATTTTAAATAAAACATGCAAGAAAATTACAAATTTTTGCGAAGTTTTGACTGAGCCAGCAGCTTTCCTTCATCTGCACTCAACTGTTACAGTGAATTGTGAGTACGTGATGTGGTATAGTGTTGGTTGAGAGATGGACAATCAATATTCAAAGGAAGGAGACACAGTTATTTCTGTTGAAAAATTCACTTACTCCATAACCCACGCGACAGCTCTAGAAAACAAAAGGTGATCAATCAACTAAAGAAATCTAACTCTTATGATCAAGACATAAATACTCCCAAATGATGAAGATACATAATCTTGATGTGACGTTTGAGGAATTTGGAAACAGTTCACAGACAAGGAACAGGAGCAATTGAGTTCTATTTTGTAAAGCGCGAACAAACAAATTTTTTTTTTTTCATTTTGCGATCACTCATTTTCAAATTTATTGTTGCAGGCAAGTTATTTAAAAAAGGGAAAGATAATTTTTTACAAGACTGTTCACAAAGGCATGATTGCTTCAAGTGAGACGTTGACGAAGATTGCACTTTACGTTTCCTCCACTGGTTAGATTAATTTCTTGCGTGTTTAAATGACAATTTCAAAAAGGAGTTTTATCTTGAAAAGCTTCATAACTTACTTACAATATCTTTAGCAAACCATCCAAGGTTCCAAAGTTTAACAAATGACTGTAATAAATACTGTAGCCCTCAATAATACATACAATAAAAGAAGTAAGCAAGCATTGACTCGCGCACACCCCTGGGACTTAGTAAAAGCATACAAAACGACGAAAGTTTAACACATTATCTTAGAATTAAAACCTCAGGGGTTCAGTTGCCGCAATGTGTCCTAAAACAAAACAAAAAAATGTGCTTTAAAAAAATAAACCGGAAACTGACCTCATACTTTGGGAGGAATGTATTGACGATGCAAACAAAACTTCGCAGCTTTGTTGCCGGTGAATCATATCAACGAACTCTTGACTCTTGAATAAGCAAGGTGATCAAAGTATGATTTTGTCGTCTTCGAAGTAAGAAAGCGCATCAGACAATTAAGGGTACGTAAGTATAAACTTTAGGTAAAGTTATCATGATAATTTCCTCATGTTTTGGCTCTATAACCTCGCACTCTGTCTAAGTTTTTGTTCACGTAACTCAAATGAGAATTCGGTTTGACACACTAGAATTCGCGAACGAAAAGTGGTTGTACTGGTATATACCAAAAATAAATAAGAATCTCAAAATAATTCTGTGAAAGCTTCTGAACTACCGTTGTGAAAAGATGCTCTCAGTAAATTTTCGTTAAATTCAGTTTCACACCATGCAATTTTAACGGTTTACTTTCAAAATTCTGAGGACCTGTACGGAAAATCAACACATGAAAACTCACCCAGATCGTGAATGCGCTTTCATGTTTCTTACAGCATGTTTCTTTGCCTTTTTTTTTTTATTATTGTTTTAATTTTTCATTCGTACAGTAGTTAGCACTTCTTGAGCATTAAGATAGAAAATTAATCTTGAAAAGATCCGGACAATTGGTCGGCGGACAGTTGCGAACTGTCTTATTGATAATAATTAATAAATTCGAGACATCTAGATTTGATTCTTTATCTTTGATATTCGACTTTGACTGTGTTCGCTTCAAACTTTTCCTCCTTAAAGTTTATAGGCAGCAGTAAGTAAGCCAGTCCATTGCTAGTTTGAAAAAACAAAGAAAATTAAGTTTGGTCTGACAAGCGAAAACTCGGCCGAGAAATAAGTCGTATGTATACGTTTCCTCGAATCTACGATTGTTTGCGGGAACGAATTCTTACCAGTAAATACTTCAAAACATTGCGAATTCTCTTGAATGTTATGGAAGGACTCAGCTTGCGCTACGTTGGTTACCGACTTCAATGAACGTCAATAGTTAGCAAAGGCCTTCTCACTCAATATTAGGGCTAATGAATGGAAAAAAGTCATGTTTGTTCATTTGTATGGTTTGGTTCGATACTCACTTGCCTTTCGACATCTCCCAATTCTCGTCTCGAAAAAGAAATTTTAATATTTAGCAAAGCAATGATTCATTTTTATAATTAGATTGTCAGTATTTGCAGAAGGTTTCCAGGTCATTGACGTAGCTATAGCCTTCAGTTTCTCCACAGTGACGGCGCAGCAGATCCCAAACTTTAACCCGCCAAATATTTTGCTGTTTATTTTTAAGCTACAAATTTCAATATCGAAGAACATCGCGCAAGTAACTTTAAGCCGGTCGCATTTGCATTGTCTTTAAATTTCCGTCTACGCTTTCGATCGTAAACGTCTCTTCATGGACGTATGTCTACACTTCAATTCTTTATTTATGACGTTACGTTCAGCATTGTATTTGACAGCTCATTTATAAAGGTCATGGAGAATTTCAGACTGCTGTTCTAACCAAATACTTTCTCTTCTTATTGTTTTTTACAGACGAAATCAAACAAAGAAAAAGGTGGAAAGTCCAGTATGGTGAAAGTAAATAGCCGCGAGGAGAGCGCTACTGATACACTAGGTATGTACCAAACAAATATAGTTCGGAGAAAGAAACGCTCTCTGATTTAGTAACATTTCTATAAATGGTCTGATAAGCTTTACCCTGTGGCTTAAAAAAAGAGAAAACCATGTTTTATCGGTTCTCTTATATTTCTTAAAAAGCCCCATTGCCTGTAATCTTGCCTCGATTTATGCACGAGTGACTTTTCTCACACAGTAAAATGGTGAGCAAAACTGTATAAACAGTTTTTTGTTCCGAATAAAGCTATACTGAGAAATAATCTTAGTTCTCACAAGGAATCGAATATCACATCATTTAATTTCGTGTTCGTATGCTCTATTAATTCAAAGATGTACAAAAAAATTTCGAAGAATTTCTACCATTTGTGGAGCACTGAAAATTTCTTCACCGCTATCAATTTGCATTATTTTTCACAGACGGGGCGCAAAAATTCCCCATCGAAGGGAAAAAGCTCTCTCGCGTTTGGTATTATTTTTTATCAAATTTTGTCCAAAAGCTCAATTTGGTTTCGCTTCCGCGAGGAAAATTGCTCACCATGAACGAAGTGACAACAAACAAATGATGAAATTATAGACACATGACACAAGAAAGACGAAAAATTCGTGTCTCAGACGAAAACGAAAATTTTCAAGACCTCGTTAATTTCGGAAACGTTCGGATGCATCCTCCGTCATAATCGGATCACACCGGGACATCATTAACACGATTGTTCTTGCTTTCACGGGTATTCAGATTAACAAAGCCAAATAACAAAAAGATTTTTATATATATTCTTTTATTGTGAATATAAACTAAACCCTTAGCTAGAAGACCGCTCTCTTTGAGTATTGCGTCTAAAAATAACATAGTGTCGACAATGAAAAATGCAAATCGAAAATGCTCACCCTTATCTTAACTACTTCGATTCGCAGACGCAAAGACGCTGCTGAAAATATTCGCTAACAATTTATCAACATAATTCCAAATGTTATTATGTTCGGTACAAAGAAGACGAAGTCGTAATAAAGCGAGAACTAATTAATCGGAACGTAATGACTTATTGTTTTATATTCAAAGTTGCTTACCCCCAGTATAGCTAATAATCCCTTCAAGTTGGAAAAACCGTGAAAATGTTCGTGTAAAATCCCTGTCAGTGTCTGGAACTATGTTGTGACAATCACGGCTTGGAGGACACTTCGCTCCGACGAAGGGCTAACGCTCGAAACGTCAGCTTTTGTAATCATTACGGTGGCCAATTTACCATTTCAACTTTGTTGATATATCCAAATTGTTTCGTTACTCCCACCGACGCAGCCCCAAACAGTTTCTTTCGAAACTATCAGCCTTTACTGAAAGGAACAGTTTTCCGGAACTCTACAACCTTCGAAAGTTACTCTAATGTTCAAAATTTGTAGCCGACGAAATTTGGCGAAAATTTATGGATATGATTCCGATAGACTATCAGGATTTTCGAAGGAATGGTTGTGATGTAACATGGTTTCTGACAGCGCAGACATATATAAGGCGCCGCGTCGTTGATTTATGAGTTGCCGGTAAGTCAAAAGATTTTTGCATCAACATTCTATCGAATGCAACAATCTAGTTCTGATCTGCTCTATATGTTCTCACGTACACGTATCACCAAATGAATGACAATATTCTGGCACAAAGGGTTTAAGAACAGATAGTAAAACACAGTAATTGTACTTCGCCACGGCGGCTGGTCCAAACGAAAACAAAGTAATATTTATTCTTATGTTCGGAGTTTAGATACTCATGAAGTCAGTTTAACAACACTAGCACCCTTACCCTGCTGGCAAAGGCGTTTATTTGTTAACTTCCCCTACGGTCCACGTAAAAATAAAGTCCTCTGCGCTCGGCCTGTTAAATCTTCTTCGAGCATGCGCCTGGGAATTATCCAAGTTTGTGGATAATCTGATTTGCGAAACCGGTCAGAACCTGTTTTAAACACCTTTTTATGCGCTCGCATCCTATTTAGTTGGCCGAGTACTACCGGGAACTAATTTGTTTGTATGCAACAGGCCGCGCATGTTCGAAGAAGATTTAACAGGCCGAGCGCAGAGGACTCTATTTTTACGTGGACCGTAGGGGAAGTTAACAAATAAAGGCCTCTGCCAGCAGGGTATAGCATCCTCCGTCAAAATAAAGAAAAAACCGCTGTTCTGTCATTTCGAGCAACACGTACACTTTGTTCAGAAACACTGGACACAACATTCTACACAAGAGTTTGTTCTCAGTGATGCAGTCAAAATTATAACTCGCAGACGAAACAGGCGCAAAGATCTCAAATCCTTGTTCAATCAGAGGGGGAAATACTAATATTGCAGCAGTTTTCTTTACTATACTTCGCTTTGGATACCAAGGGGATTAACACGTAAATTAGTTCGTGACACATGAAACTGTCTTCAAATTTTTCTGTGTGTGTGTTGAGCCCCAAAAAAAAAAACATGGAGGAGTTTCGCTCTGTTTCAAAACATCAGGATATCGGGTAAAGTACAGTTTCAGACTCTAATGATGACTTCCGCTCATGTTGTCGAACGTCACTCACCATTACCTCCAACAGCGCCTTTCCAGACTACCCTCGCTCGGACGATCAAACTGGCTTCAATTCACGACCCAGGAGGTAAAAAAAAGAGGTTAACTTCGGCAAAGAGTTGAAAAAGAATGGCGAGAAGACGAAGAGCGAATCACAATACTTCGTTGGGGAAGGTTTTACTACATGCAAACGTGGCTAACTCAAAAGGAAATGTTTTAAGTCCCTTTGAACGTGACTAATGCCAAAACAATGGTCACGTCTCCCTTTTCAAATCCTTCTCAAGAAGTTTTGCTCAGCTGCAGTTAAAAGAGCGCCCAGCTTGACTCGTTCTCACTCTCTTTTGTTCTCCATCTTGTTAACTCAGTAACCTGTGTACATTTGATTTTCTTTTGATATTACGAGGCGACGATGTTGACAATAGCTACTGTCAATCGCTTCTGCCTTTGTGTCATCACTCTATAGGATTGTTGACAACAAAATTTTCCATTTACACAACGAAACCAAAACAATACGACGAGAGGTGCGAGAGTTAGAGTCAAATACTTCAACTTCTGTTTTATTCCGGACATCAAATGATCAAGTGATAACTCCTCAGTAAAATAATGTGGTCGCTTGTGCTAGAAAAGATGAAGTTTCACCACATGATAAGTGTGAAACGTGAGCTTTATCACGATCGTGGGGGCTATAGCGGCGAGGGTACCGATGCAATTTCTGGTAAGATGCGACAGTCTGTGAATTTTAATATTTGATTTTGTTGATCATCTGTTCGATTTGAGCCTCATGTTAGCATCGAGCGATAACTAAATGTTAACCAAATACCAGAAAAATGTTATCTGAACTGCGTAATCGAAAATAACGAGAATTATTTCCTGTCCGACTGACACGTACGTCCGCGCGAAACAACATTTACTGCCTGCATAGTTTGGTTACCACATCCGGCTCGAAAACAAAAGTCGATATTTTTATAATCACAAGGGAGACATATTTCTCATTGCTATTGCTTTTATGAGTGCTGCAGCTATTGAAACTTGCGCAGTGGATTTACATCTAATTGTTCATGACCTTTATCAGTCGTTGAAACAAAGTTATTGATCTTTCTAACAAATCACTTAACGAATTAGCGGATTAGCTGCTAATATCCATATTTATCTTATTTGTAATGTATGCAACACAAAAGACTACAACGAAGTACGTTCTCACTTTGATAATTCAGGAACTAACACAAAATTTACCCATGGACTTCGTATAATTTTTTTTTAACCACTTAAATGTTTTATTGATGTCAGTACTAGGCCGCAGAACTTGGAGTACATGGCACAAAAGAAAAGAAAAAAATCTGACAATTTATTCAAACTAGGTGACAAAGATATACTAAATCAGCTTTCAGTTGTCTTCCTAGGCAGAAAATAGGTCTCACATTCACCGGTGTTTCATTGCCTACGATAGAGATAAGTCTTTCTTGACGCGAGTATAATTGTTTAAAAACGTATTAGACTTCCTGAGGCTGTTCTATCTATAAACATTTACGGCGCGCAAATATGCTCAGTTATGTTTTCAAGTAGAGAAGCGAAACGCACGATTGGGTCAGTGTAGTTAACAATGAGGCAAAATTCAGTTGTCCGGTTATACACACACAAAAAAGTCATAATATAAAATTCAAAAAAATTACATGCCCTCTTTGTTCGACTTAAACTGCCCACACATCTTGTTAATAACATGACAACCAAGGTGGTTAAACCCTTTTAATAATTTCTCATGTCTCCCGTTGTTAGTTATTATTCATCGGCAAATTACGTCACGAGATTCAGCAGGTGTCAATGCTACTTATCAAAACACTTCTTGAAATTCATCAAGGCATTGGTTTGCACAAAATACTCAATATGTGTACTCGAATAGCAGCGTATTTCACTCAATAATAGTCCTTGCAAGACTTGATATCCTTAAGGTTACCTCATGACGTTTCTTCGCAGCGGTGCAATAACTTTCGTATTACGCAATTTGACCGAAAGCTATGGACTGCAACAAATTGCGCGTTCCAAGTAAGTAACATTGTCCATCACAAAATTTCTTATCATCTTCGCTTATACGCCTTGAAGAGGTGAAATAATTGTCATAGATCTTGCAGAATCTCCTCGACATTTGAATGTTTCCGCTATCAACTTTCTTTTAGATTTGTTTTGCAGTTTTACATTGCCACAAAGTTAGTTTGACCGCAAAAGCATTGATTCTGTAAGAAATGTTGCAAACCTTCACTAAAGGCACTGAAGGAAGAAGCAGTTAGTTTATTTTCCGGCAGCACGGTTTGGTCTATAATGCTTCATTTCAACAGTGTTTTAAAAATGTATCGTTCGTTTTATTTTTTTCTTTGCAAGAAGGAATAATTCCTTTATTCTTTTCCTGCCTCGTTAGACTTACAGATTTTTGTCGTATCTGATTCAATTAACAAATTCGTAGACGATGATTCCGTTATATTACTGTCAACAAGTAAACACAGGAATCTTTCTTCCAAACATTTGTCGTAGAGTAAGAAAGCAGAAAAATTTGTTTACAGTGTTTGTATTCTTTTTAACTAAAAATTGAGACATTACAGCAGGTGTGGCGAATTATTTAACAACGTACAGTCAGATGTGATAGCCATCTTATTCATCAGCAGTTTTAACCACAATAATCGAAACGAAACCAAAATATTCGAGGTATTTTTAAAATAATAAAAATTTCTACCTATTTAAGGAAAGTTTTTATAGAAACCCAAGGAGCGAGACCGCTTGATTAAATATTCTTCTTTCCTCAAAACTATTGTCATTTTGAAGAGTTTTGTTGACTAGAGATTCAACTATTTAACGAGCCAATTGTTAAAACAGCGTGGGCGTACTTTCACCTTTCGTGTATTCACCCGTAAACGCGGTTTGAGACCAAGTTTTCAGAAAAGGTTGCAGTAACATGCACCAAAATTTTCAATGTTGAGGATTTTTTCTTTCTTCACCCACTAATAACATAAAAATAGTAATTCATTAAGTTAATTGTTATGCTGGAATAATCATAATAATATTCCTTTGCCACCAAAAAGCGACCGAATTATCGAAGTAGGCTAATTCGAATGAATTCCCTTTAGGTTTGAAAGTCAAGTTGGCATTATGCCATTTCACACTGCTTAATTAAGGGCATTTAAAATTAAGCAATCTTCGCAAAACCGTGTAAACGCTTAAACCATAATTAATTCTACCAAAGCAAAATATTCCATAGCAGTTTAAGGCAACGACAAAAAAGAATGTGTTTAGTTCTTTGGTAAAAGATCACACAGTTCAGTAAACGATAAAATATTTGGGTCACTAGATCTAAGATGACGGAGGATATGTACTGGGTTCACAAAAAGTTACTTTTATACACACACATTTACATATTCTTCGGGCGAGAGGAATTGGCCAGGTCTACTTTGTTGCTAACAGAGACGTCCATCTATAATCACGATTCAACAACGGTCACGAAAGAAAAATTTTCCAATAAGTCACTTAGGAATTGGGATTAGCTTCGCTTGTAGAATGAAACTTGATTTTAACTGCCATGGTTTAGCGTGGGTTTAAAGGAAAACTGGGTTTGAAAACGTAGAGTAAAACAGGAAATGCACTTACCGCATAGTCAGCTTGCGTCGCTCATGAAGCTCGCAAAATAAACTTAATACGTCAGTGAAAATCTAACATAGTATCATAAATTCACATATTTTTCACCCGGACTAACCTGAAACTAATCCATCTAGTGGAAACAGCACTTGCATAAAGAATCATTTTCTCTTTTCTCTTTCATTTTTACAGAGATTCCATCCCCTACAGTCACTCAAGGAGTAAAACACACGGCGCTGTCGTCAGAAATGGATCCCAAACGTGCCGCTGCCATCTTAGATAGGCGCCGCGTATCTGCATCCATCAATGAAATACGAGATTTATACAGCGCTTTGCAAGAACTTGTCCCAGGCAATACGCCATCTTCGCCTCAACACCGGGCGATTTCAACAGAGATTAACTTTACAAGTGTTTCGTCGAATCCCACCTCTCCTAGCTTGAAGAGAAGAAATGCTGAAAATGGTGCAAAAGACACGTCCCGATCCCCGACAAGCGAGGATGAATCAATACGAGTGAGAAGGCTTCTTCCGGTGACCCCTGACTCACCAAGCAACCTGCGCAAGTTTAAACCTAAGGTCATTCAAACACTTGACGTGAATGCCAATCATGGTTTAACCAAAGGAAAACGTCCCCCTAATATGGGAAGGCGAGGGTCAAGTGGTGAGGTACTGTTGAGCATGAAAACCAGTAAAGCAGGAAACCCATCGCCTAATATGGGAAGGCGAGGATCAAGTGGTGAAGTCCTTCTAGGCGTTCGAGCCAATCAACTTAAGGCACCCAAAAGTCCTTTGGCGATGACGAGATGGTCTTCACACCTTGATATTGCTACTGCTTGTGAAACCAGTTCAACAGTTCTAGACCAACCTGTCGAACTGGACAGAGTTGTCAGTCCAGAACGGCTGGGTAGGCGTGGATCAGAGGGGGGCATTTTGACCCCAAATATGAACAAAAGCCATAAAAAGCTTAGTCCTCTTGTGGTAAAAAGAAGGGGCTCAAGTGGTGATATCCTCAGCACGGAAAACTTTGAGACTACTTCTAACAATCTTACGAGTAGCACCGTAACGTCACCACGAAATGGCGCCGCGTTATACACCGACTCGTACCCAAGACGAGGCTCCCTGATGAGTGCGCTTACCAAGTTTTCGCATTCCTTTAAAAGAAAAACCCCGCCAGCGAGTCCACAGCGCAAAGAGGCCGCAGATGCGGCTAACCAGACAGTCGTTGATGGTCCTGTGCCGACCAAACAGTTACCAAGGCTGGAGAGTCAAATGGATATGTTGTTGAATTCCCTACAAGATTTGCAAGGAGCAGAAGTGGTGCATGCAAACGCAATTGACACAGAGACCCCAAGGAAACGCGATCAACGTCGAGGAAGCCTGGGCAGCGAGATGCAGGAACTCCTGGGAGCCCTGCATGAACTTTCTAACATGGCAACAAGCTCAGACTCAGACTCTATTGGTGAAAATGAGTCGAGGTCTAGGCGTGGGTCCGAGTTACAAGATCGAGTGCCAGTCCAGAGGGAATCACTTGATCAACTCGAGGCCTACTTCACCGAAAAATTACGAGACGCTACCAGGGCTAATGCTTCTAAATCACCTTCCGAGCGTTCTTCTGAAAGTGAAGCTCTCCATTCGGACAGAGAAGATGCTGAATTGAGCCAAGTATCGTCCGAAATGTGAAGCAAGAAAATCTCTCTGGAAATAGGGATGGCCGATGAAGGAGTTGACATCGTTGATGGCCCCCTCGAAGTTTTACCGACGGAGTCCGAAGCTAAACGGAATCCTCTGATGGAGGACCGTGAAGAGTTTGCTAGCCAGGTAAACAAAAAACTACAGGACTGGCTAGCAAAGGCTACAGCATTATCAGAAAGAGAGAAAACGGAACCAAGCGAAAACTTTATGACGTATGATAGTGAAGGGGCAAAGTATGATTCCCCAGATTCCGACGAAAGTGACTATAACAAAGACAAAGAACCAAAACGAATGCGACGGAACCTCTTCTCTAAGTTGTCACTTCTACGCCGTGGTGATAAAGCGAAATACAAGCATCGAAGAACAAAATCTATGCATGACGTTACGTTTTTAGGTGAAAACGACCATCCCCTTCAAGATATCGCAGCAGGAAATTCTCAAACGGTGACGACACAGATTGCAGGAAAATCTCGTCGTCCGAGTGTGACCCGCTCAAGGTCCATGTACAATTTTACGCTTCCGCGAAGTAACAACAGTAAAACCCGCCAGGTTAAAGAGGCTGAAGACTTACTTAAGGCTACCCTTAATACTGAAACACCGCTCAAGCCACAGAGTATCCACGTTGCGGAGACACATACACCCGTAATACTGCCAAACAAAAGAGGCATTGTAACGTCGCAAATGATTTCAACCTGTAGTAAAGACTATTGCAGTGCCCTTGATGCTAAAAATCTGTCGGTGGCTTTGGCAAAACGTGAACTTAATAAAACCAGACAGAAAGTAGAGGACAACAACGAGAGGCTGTCGGCCCCAAAAAAGCGATCGCGTCGATTACCGACTGACTTGCCGTTCTTCTATACACCAGAAACAGCTGATCCCCGCTCTTGTAACACTGCTACAACGAGACCTCCGAAAAAAACTGACACCCACATTAAAATTAAATTGTTGCCAAGCAATCCCCCAAAGGAGGAAATTTTCTACAATGAGAAGAAAAGTGATTCAAGAAAACTGAAAAAGGCCTGCAGCAATACACTAACCTGTCCGCATATTCTCGTGAACCAGAGTACACATTATTTTTTTGGAACGACACAAGAAAACGGAAAAGGTGATAACGACGAAGGTACATTGTTTTATCAAGGCTCGTCCCAGTCTCCTCTACGACGCTTTGCATCTGTTGACAGTTTCTTAAACTATACCAAAGATCTGCAGGGATGCGAGGAGCCTCGGGCAAATGGATCTTGTAGCTATGGACACGAGTTACGAGCCGATGATGCGACAAGGGGGACTAATGTTAGAGGTAAGAATTCACAGTCATCTTGTCTCTAAATTTTCACAAAACCTTACTTAGTTTGTCTTTTTCCACTAACTAGCGACGTGCTTTTCGAAAGTTACAACTTTTGGGTGTTTTACAGACCCTTGAGTTTTCCTGAATCACACATTAAGATCAAGAGAAAGAACAAAATGATCACCAACTGCAGAAGCTCCCGATTTTTTTACAAATTCTCCTCGTCAGCACTGTATGAAATGTATGGAGATCATTATGGAGAATATACATACTGATATTTGGCTGTAAAAGGTTAATCAAATATGAAATAAAGGAGACCCAAACTGAGTACCTACCCCGATAAATTCTGCTTCTTATTTAACAGAACTGATTGGAGAGCGAGGGTAACAAGGGTAATGTCAGACTCTTCAATTGGAATATACCCACATATGTAAGACAAATTGCTTAGTGACTAGTGACAGCTATCTCTGGCCAAAACACGATGCGCTGATATCATATGTGGAGAACTTACAAGGTCATATTTAAATAGCATTTCGATCAAGTGAACTAAAAATATTAACATGATAATAGAAGGTAACATTATGACAAAATGTCTCACCTGGTTTCCATTCATTCTATTTACAGGTCAGTCACCATGCCCCTCTCCACCATCTCAAGTCTGGGGAATTGAATTCACGATCTAAAAACGGAGAGAGAACTCTTAACAACACATTTCAGTACACATTTTATTGTTTCTAAGGCAGAAAAGACTTGTTTTAATTCTTATTTCACATAACCAGTTACTTCTACATAAACATTTTGGTTCTGTTTTGTTATCAAAAGGTTTTACTCATTTTTTTCCATGCAAATCATAGTTCAGTCATTGAATTTTAATCATTAATCTCATTTCTTTTTTTATTTTATCCTATAAATATACAGTATGATATGGAAAATATTACATTTACTGGGTTTTAAATACTTAAAACCTGAGAATAAGTATTAGTTTTTATTTCAAATGTAATAAAAAAAATTATCCTAGCTCTCTAAAGATGAATCAAATTGCCATGCAGTTTTGAAGTTACTGTTTGTTGAGAAAGGAGAATTCATCTTCAAATATTAAATTGCTTTGTTATGAAGCATGAATTGATATAATTTTGACAAAACTGTTATACAGATATACTGTAGTGAGAAATGTAGAATTTCTCAATTATGCAATAAAAACATATGCTCCCAAACAATTGTTGCTGTTGCTATAGAGATGGCTTACATGAATGATAGACTGCCTGATGAATAAAAAGAATGGAATGAAAGACAAACTGAGCAACACACTTGCTGATATACCTTGTTGACTTACTGGCTGAATAAATGACTGAATGGCAAGCTCACTCAATGATACACACACTCGCTGAGTAATGATTATAAGGGGTAAGTTTCTAAAGAGCTGTGGTGCTGTGTTGGTGGGGGGGGGGGGCATGACAAAATATTTTAGTTTTATCAACTGAGTTCATAATAATAAGTAGGCTGCTGTAAAGAGTTTTTAAAGCTAACATTTTGAGCATTGGCCTAAAGTAAATAGGCTGACTGACTACTTGACTGACCGTGTAACTGACTGACTTTATGACTGGCTGAGAGCTTGACTGACTAACTGGGTGCTTGACTGGCTAGCTGTATTAAGTGGATTGTCTAACTGACTGACTGTCTCACTCACTCACTCACTGATATACCTTACTAACTGAATGCATGCTTGACGGTTTGTCTGACTGACTGCTCGCCTGATCGTCTGACTGGCTAATTGGCTGACTGACCGCTGCACGCCTAGTGAAATAGCTTGCATTGGCACTTGTCCACTTAAACAAGGTGTATACGTATCGGCATTCAGGCATTATCTGACTCACAGATAAGCAAAACATAGGTTGGCGAAGAAGTAAAGATAAAACGGTTCAGAAATCTACACCACTTTCATTCACCTTTGTTCTTTTTTCTTCTATGCAATTTACTTGAAGTAAAGAGGCTCCCATTTTCACAGTAATATTTCGGGTCGTGAAGCTGCTAAATAAAATTGCATCCACACACCACGATATCGCCCCTTGAATCAGCCTTGAGGTTTTGTAGCACATTGGGGTTTCGGAGTCACAAATACCATCCACACACCACAGACGTCCATCATCTAATCCTAAATTTGACACACAAACCTGTTAATATATGACACAATTAAGCCTGATAGGAGATATCCGTTGTTAAAAAATATTCGGAATACCACTGCGACAGCTGAATAATGTATGCGCACGCGCTAGGTTTTGGCACAGAAACTCGGATTTTGATTTGTACCCATGCATTGTTGATATTCTATTCCGTTGCTTTGAAGCGTTGTTTTGCTTACCGCTTCTCTTTTGTAGAACAACTTTCAATAACTTTGTACACCCCCTAAATATTTTCTAAAACTATTTTTCTCCTTAAAAACTTTGGAAATAAGAAAATGCCCTCGACGAGAACAAAATGGCCTCGGTTTTAAATGCCAGCTTATTATTGTTTTCGCAGATTTCGCTAAATTTTAAACCTCGCGCGCTTGAGCTCGCGTTAATCACCGTATACCTTTGACGTTATTTCAGCTCTGTCGCGTACTGCGAAACAGTAGTTATTTCTTTGTATCCGTAGTACACCGACATAACATAATATAATATAATAAAATATTTATATAACGCCTATCCTTTTCAGTGCTAAGCGCTTTACAATGCTTCAAGAGGGACTAAAATCATATACATATATATATATATATATATATAGGAAGTCTGCAAGTCGATTTTCGCGTGGAACAGTGCTCAATACGTTGAAGCAGAGCAGAATAAATATTATGAGAGGAAAAAAGGACGTAACTACATTTCCCGACAAGCCTGTTTNTTGAGACCTCATTTATTATTCTTCTCTGGGGGTGAATAACACAAAATAGGGAAAAGACGGCGCTTCCCAAGATATCAACATCTAAATAAAATCCCTCTTCGTCGATGCTAGCTTTGTCGAAATAAACAATGTAGAAAAGGGGCTTCTTCTGACTCGTTAGGAAAAGCAGTTACCTTTGTCTGAGGATCTCCATGGGATGATGGCTTTTACGGCTAACGGTTACCAAAAATTATTATTTACGGTTAACTTTTTTACGACCAACGGTTAAAATTTGTCAATTTTTTGCACGAAAGCTATATTGTCTACAGGCGGCCCCGCCGGCATGGTGATTCAAACCCACATAACCTATTTTTATGATAATTTCTCAAACCATTAAGCAATAGAACGCAGTTTTTCCAGGTTCTATAACTTAAGCTTCTATCTCGTGTCGAAGGCAAGGGATTTATAAGCTTTTCTCCGTGCTGATTTATAAGCTTTCCAACATCCTGCGTGGCTTTATCACGTAATAGAGCCCTGAAAAAAATGCCTTCTATTGCTTTTATGGCATAACAAGTTAGGCGAGACAGACGTGCATTTCGCATTCACTTCATGATCGCAAAACCTGGACAAGGTCAAAGAGTCGCCAGAGAAAGGTGAGAACTTGTTAGCCGAAAGGCAGAAACATATCATTTTAGCGGACAAATCAGGTTATGGCTGGATGGCAATACAATAATATAAAAAGAATGATCTTGCCGACGATTTCGACGATGAGAAGAAGATTGTTAGAGCAGAAGCGAGAGCGAGAACCAAGCAGATTTCACAGAAAGCCAAGTCAAGAATGACTGCTGCAAGACGGGAGTTTCCTAAGAGCCAACCAGTCTCAGCTGTTTCTAATACTGATGTCAGTTCTGCTTTGAGGCCAATTCCCACCACTGAGGCCCAATTCAGAAATCAAACGAAGCCGGGATCTTGTTTCGCTTGTAATAAGCCAGGCCACTGGAGAGCGCAATGCCCGCTGTTAACTGCCAAGTCCCGTGCAGGTCAATGACTAGCCGACCTCGAGGATGGACAGGATCAAGGTGTAGTTGTTTAGACGGTGCAGGCAATGGTCTTGAGGACGATCTTATTGATTTAGATTATTCATCGTTAATTGTTACCGTTAAGTCTTTGACACCGAGTGAATTTGATTCATGCCAGTCTAAAGTTTGCTCGGTTCGCGGGAATTTAGCTAAGTGTTATCAAGAATGGGAGAAACTTGGTGCTTCAGGCTTTATTTTGAGTGTTATACGTGATGGGTACAAAATTTCTTTCATTGATTTTCCACCCCCCAAGGTCTACCCAAACAATGGTTCAGCCCTGAAGGAAAAAGAGTTTGTTTCCGAGGCTTTTTCTAATCTTCTTGGGAACAGATGTGTGGAGGTTCTCGATTACCCACCTGCTATAATTCTTTCAGTTTCTATTCAGTCTTTAGGCAAGAAAAGGTTCATTTTAGAATAGAAACATCTTAATTTGTATATTTTCAGACAGAAATTCAGGTGTGAAGATCTTAAAGTGGCTCTCAACGTTTTGTCTAAAGAATTTTATTTGTTCAAGTTTGATCTTAAGTCTGGTTACCCTCATGTTGAGAAATTTTTCCAGACCACTGAAGATTTTTGGCATTTGCCTGGGATTTTGGCGACGGAGTATTTAAATATTTTCAATTTGCAGTATTACCTTTTGGTTTGTCATCCGCTCACTATTTGTTTACCAAATTGTTACGTCCTGTTATTACCTCATGGAGGTGTAAGGGCGTACCTATGGTAATTTTTCTTGATGACCGTTTGGGAGGTGGCGCTGGCAAAATGAAAGCTAAGATTAATAGTTCGACGTTTCATGCTGATTTGTTAAAGTTTGGTTTTGTTATTAATCTTGGAAGAGAAGTCCATTTGGGAGCCAGTTCAGATTATTACCTGGCTGGGTTAGCGGTTTTTGGAAAAAAATTAAACCGCTGCTGCCAGTGGATAAAGCCTGCTATGATACTTACTCTATCCCACTTATCGACGATGGTCAACTCATTTCGGATCCAGTAATGGTCTTCAATGAATACTTTAGTACACCTGTCATAGAAGATTCAGTCATTGAACGCACCCGCTATACATGAGTTTGAGAGCCACCCCAGTGTTGCGTTGATTAGAGGCAAACATGACGATCTTGCATTCTCATTTGAGCATGTTTCGCAGTCGTATGTGGCTGATATACTGGTTCAATTGGATGCCAAGAAATCCACTGGCCCCGATAGGCTATCCTCTAAAATTCAAAGGATCATTGCTGCACCAGGCATTGCTGCACCCTTGACCAAGCTCTTCAACTGCTGTTTTGACTATCGCCAATGGCCACGTCAAAAAGGACGGAGTAACGATAAAATCGAATTATCGCCTGGTCAGCGTTCTTTCCACATTACCTAAACTTTTCGAACGCGCTAAGTTTGACCAACTTTACCATGCATTTGCCCCGTTATTCTCGGACAATATGTCTGGCTTTCTGCGTGGTCATTCATGCTTCACTGCACTCGTGAAGCTCTCTGATGACTGGCGTGCGGCATGGGACAAGAAAGAAATCATAGGGGTTGTGGCTATTGACCTTTCCAAAGCCTTCGATTCAGTTTGCTACAATTTGCTATTCGCCAAGTTTAAAGCATATGGAGTGCGCCAGGGGGCTCTGGGGCTTATACAGTCTTATCTGTCTGACAGCTTCCAACGCGTTAGATGCAATGGGTCCCACTCGAACTGGCTACCCGTACCCTGCGGGCTTCTGAAGGGTAGCTCGTTAGGACCTTTACTTTTAACATTTTCATTGACGATGTTAATTTCTGTGCTGCTACCTCCTCACTACGTTTATACGCTAATGACACTTAACAATTATTCCACGAGCGCGCGTTGGATATGAGATGATAGATAGCCAACGAGGCGCGTAGCGCCGAGTTGGCTGTAATCCGCGAGTGGAATAATTGTTTTATTAAAAACGTTAAATTAAGTTATTAGATTTTATTACATTTTATTGAATTTTATTAAATTTATAGCTCCCTTTTAATTTTAAGCTGACACGTACGCTTGCCATATTTGTAGATTATGGTATATTGGCTGATATACCATAATGGCTAAGCCAGTAAAAATTCTTGAATTGCATTATCCAATGATCTACTTTTTAATAATACCCAATACTCGTCTAGCGTCTGCCCTATGACCCTGAAGTTTAATCTCAATGCAGATATATCAAGGCTGAAGGAATGGTTTACTCACAACTACCTAGGAATCAATAGCACCAAAACGCTGGCAATGGTACTTGGCAACAGCTCCTACAATTTTGAATTCTTT